CCCCGGGGCTGGGAGGTGGAGGTGCGGACCCCCCGGGGGCTGCGGGTGGCCTTCGACGGGCACCACGGGCGGGTGAGCATCCGCGTGCCGGGCGCCTACAGCGGCCACCTCTGCGGGCTCTGCGGGGACTTCGACGGGGACCCCCGCAACGACCTGGCGCCGGGCAGGGGGGTGGCGGGTGGGGGACACGTCGGGTGCGGGGACGCGGCGGGGTGCGGGGAGGTCGGGGGGAAGGGGCAAGAAGAGGTGGGGAGGGAGTGCGGGGTGCTGCTGAACAAGGAGGGGCCCTTCCGGCTCTGCCACGAGGCCGTTCACCCGAAACCTACTTTCGGGGACTGCGTCGCCGACCGGTGTCACCGCGAGGGGGTCTGCCGCGTCCTCGCCGCCTACGTGGCGGCCTGCCAGGAGGCCGGGAGGAAGGTCCTGGAGTGGCGTTCCAAGGGGTTCTGCTGTAAGTGCCTCGTGGGGGGGTCGGGGGGTAGGGGTTGGAGGGGAGCACGGCCCCGTAGAGCACCCCGGGAATCCAGGAGTCTGGGTGGGATGGGGGCATGATCCCATAGAGCACCCCAAGACCCCATAAATCCTTTTGGGATGGGGAAAGAACCCTATAGAGCACCCCAGTACCCCAAAAGTCTTGGTGGGAGGGAGAAATAACCCTATAGAGCACCCCAGGGCCCCATAAATCTTGGTGGGATGGAAAAAGAACCCCATACAGCACCCCAGGACCCCAAAGTCTTGGTGGGATGGGGACATGGCCCCATAGAGCACCCCAAGACCCCATAAATCCTGGTGGGATGGGGAAAAGAACCCCATAGAGCACCCCAGTACCCCAAAATTCTTGGTGGGAGGGAGAAATAACCTCATAGAGCACCCTATAACCCCAAAGTCTTGGTGGGATGGGGAAATAACCCCATAGAGCATCCCAAGACCCCATAAACCCTGGTGGGATGGGGAAAGAACCCCATAGAGCACCCCAGGGTCCAAAAGGTCCTGGTGGGGATGGTGGAAAGAACCCTATAGAGCACCCCAAGACCCCAGAAATCCTGGTGGGATGGGAACATGGCCCCATAGAGCATCCCAGGTCCCCAAAGTCTTGGTGGGATGGGAACATGGCCCCATAGAGCATCCCAGGGTCCCAAAAGTCTTGGTGGGATGGGGATATAACCCCATAGAGCACCCCAGGGCCCCATAAATCCTGGTGGGATGGGAACATGGTCCCATAGAGCATCCCAGTACCCCAAAGGTCTTGGTGGGATGAGAAACACACCCCATAGAGTACCCCAAGACCCCAGAAATCCTGATGGGAAGGGGACATGGCCCCATAGAGCACCCCAGACCCCATAAATCCTGATGGGAAGGGGACATGGCACCATAGAGCACCCCAGGACCCCACAAATCACAATGGGATGGGGAAAGAACCCCATAGAGCACCCCAGGGTCCCAAAGTCCTGGTGGGATGGGGAAAGAACCCTATAGAGCACCCCAGGGCCCCAAAAGTCTTGGTGGGATGGGGACTTGACCCCATAGAGCACCCCAGGACCCCAAAAGTCTTGGTGGGATGGGGAAATAACCCTATAGAGCACCCCAGGAACCCCAGGGCCCCATAAATCCTGATGGAAGGGGACATGGCCCCCATAGAGCACCCCAGGACCCCATAAATCACAATGGGATGGGAACATGGCCCCATAGAGCACCCAGGGCCCCAAAAGTCCTGGTGGGATGGGGAAAGAACCCTATAGAGCACCCCAGGGGCCCACAAATCACAATGGGATGGGGACATGGCCCCATAATGCATCCCAGGTCCCCAAAAGTCTTGGTGGGATGGGGACATGGCCCCATAGAGCACCCCAAGACCCCACAAATCACAATGGGATGGGGACATGGCCCCATAGAGCACCCCAAGACCCCACAAATCCACAATGGGATGGGGACATGGCCCCATAGAGCACCCCAAGACCCCATAAATCCTGGTGGGACGGGAAAAGAACCCCATAGAGCGCACCCCAGGGCCCCAAAAGTCTTGGTGGGATGGAGACATGACCCCATAGAGCACCTAGGAGAAGCCAAGGATCCAGAGGGGACCGAGGACCTTCCCCCAACACCACCTTCTCCCCACACCCCCCAGTGCCCCGCGTGGCACACCCCGGCTACGCTGCCATCGCGCCCCCGGCTGCACCCCGGGGTGCCGTGAAGGCTGCGTGGCCCCTGACGACTCCACGGGGGCACCCAGAGGTGCTCGGCGGAGCCGGCGGCAACACCTGCCACCGTGGGCACCCCGGGGACCTGCCGGGCCGTGGGGACCCAACACTACTTGAGCTTCGACGGGGTGGCCATGGCCGTGGCAGACAACTGCTCCTACGTGGTGGCCCGGAGCTGCGGACCCCCCCTGGCGCCCACCCATGCCTTCGACGTGACCGTCACCGACCCACCCCGGGGTGGCCCCGGCCCCCGCAGCGTCACCGTCACCGTGCACCAGCACCGCTTCGTGCTACGGGGTGGGCACCCCGGCGTGGTGGAGGTGAGGAGGAGGAGGAGGAGGAGGAGGAGGAAGAGGAAGGGGAGAGGGGTGGTGATGGGGCAAGGGGTGGAAGGGGTGGAGAAGGGGGTGAGGGGGGAGGAAAAATGGGTGGTGGGGGTGGATGGAGGAGGGTGGGAGAGAGGGATGGGAGGGTGGGGAGGTGGAGAAGGCTGAGGATGAAGAACATGGAATGAGAAGAGGATGGTTGGGTAGAGGATGGATGGATGATGAAGAACGTGGAAAAAGGGGTGAAGAAGAGGATGGATGGATGGATGGATGGATGGATGGATGGATGGATGGATGGATTGGATGGATGGATGGATGGATGGATGAAAAACGTGGAAAAAGGGATGGACAAAAGACAGAGGTAGAGGTATGGACAGAGAAGAGGATGGGTAGGTGGATGAAGAACATGGTGAAAAGGGATGGAGAAGGGCCAGAGATGGAGGAATAGATAAGGGATGAGTGGATGGATGGATGAAGCACATGAAAAGGGATGGAGAAGAACAGGTGGAGAGATGGATGGATGGATGGATGGATGGATGGATGGATGGATGATGGATGATGGATGGATGGATGGATGGAGAAGAAAATGGAAAAAGGGGATGGGTGAAGAAAATGGAAAACGGGATGGGTGAAAGAAGATGGAAAAGTGATGAAGAAGGGATGGATAGAGAAGAGGATGGATGGATGGATGGATGAAGAACCTGGAAAAAGGGATGGGAGAAGAACTTGGGAAAAGGGATGGACAGAAGGATGGATGGAAGGATGGATGGATGGATGGATGGAAGGATGGATGGATGGATGGATGGATGGATGGATGGATGGATGGATGGATGGATGGATGGATGGATGGATGGATGGATGGATGGATGGAGAAGGTTGGACAGATAAAGATGAAAAGATTTGGAGGAACAAAATTGGATGGATGAAGGAGATTGGGTGGGTGGTAGAACAACAAATGTCTGCTACGAGGACCAGGGTGGAGAACCAGTAGGACTGGGCACCTACTGGGTGCCTCCAACCCACCCCACCCCACCCCACCCCACGCAGGTGGACGGCTCCAAGGTGTCGCTGCCCTTCTGCCTGCAAGGCCAGGCCGTGTGCTTGGCACCCCGGGGTGCCACCACCCTCCTGGTGGCCGACTTCGGCCTCCGCGTCACGCCGGCCCCGGGGCGGCGGTGGCCGTCACCGTGTCCCCGAGCTTCCGCAACGTCACTGCGGCCTCTGCGGCAACTTCGACGGCCACCCCTACAACGACCACCTCCACCAGGCCACCACGGCCACGTGTCACCGTCCCTGCCCCGGACCCACCTGTCCCCCGTGCCGCCAGCCCCCCAAAAAAGCCTTCGTCCACACCGAGCTCTGCGGCGTCCTGCGGGACCCCCAAGGTCCCTTCGGGGGCTGTCACGCCGCGGTCCACCCCAGGGTCTTCTTCGACGTCTGCCTCTGGGAGCTCTGTGAAGCCCCCGGGGACAAGGAGGTCCTCAGCGAGGTCCTGGGCGCTTACGAGGCCGCCTGCCGCCAGGCCAAGGTCCGCGTGGGACCCTGGCGCGTCCCCAGCGTCTGCCGTGAGTTGGGGACGCGGGGACACGGGGTGGGAGGTGGCCGTGGGGTGTTTTGGGTGATCTTCTCCAGGAGGTTCTCGTGTGGGACTCCCCCGTGGCCAGGACGTCCCCATGGATCCATCCATGGGTCCATCCAT